TTACATAACGAAACATGTCAGTTATCGCTCAATTGCATTAATTTGCCTAATTGTCGTGTTTACCACGAACATGCACAGATCGATCTGTGAAGTGTGCAAAATGATGGCATTTTCAAAAATTTCTAAACTGCAATGGATACAGCACTATACTTGGCTCCAAATTGACTCAATCATCGGCTAGATAGGTATGATTTTCTGACGTTTACGATGTATCAAACGTGAACAACCCCTTTGTAAATGAAAAGAAAACATTTAACATTGCAGCGTTGAGTAAAAACACTCAACGATTGCAGTTATACAGGGTGTTTCGAAATTCGCGCACACGGACTGTGGGATGGTATTATACAACGAAAACTGAATAAAAAGTTCCTCTACCAGTTTTTGATCAGACCGGCACTTTTCGAGTTGTCGTTGTTCGAAAAATCTGAAAATGCCGAAAACAAAAGATAGTTCAAAACAACTTATTGTAATCGTACAATTCAAATTGCGAAATAATGGCCGGTAATTATTCAAATCGAGAATAATACGATATGCGAAAAATTTTCCAAAAAAAACGTCTCAAAAACTCTTCAGTGACTTTAGAGCTTTAGAGACATCGACCGCCCTCAATTTTGAAAATAAAAATTTTTAGGTGTTACACGTATAACCAGCAAAGATAAGAAAATCTATATGAAAATATACAGTGTGATGAACGAATAAAATCAATAAACATACCGAAAGATATAAAAAGACGAAATTACCATATAGCAGTCAAAGAATTATGCATTCAGTTATTGTCTTCTAATCGATGGCGAAATGACAGCAATATCAAGAGATTTTGCATCGTTCCAACGTTTCTGTATCAGAAATTCATTTATCATACGCACTAAGTCGGTGTTTCAGAAAAAAATAAAATTTTTCAACATCAAAGGAGCTTTTAAGCTTTTTAAAGAGGATATTTAAGGCTCTATATGAAAACGCATTTCCCAAGAGGACTTTTCGAACCGACTTTTGTCTGTATATCTCAGCAACCTACGCGGTGGGAGGAAGCGTTATGATAATACCTGCATTTAATGAAATGCTGATTCACCTAAACCAATTTAGCCGAAGATGAAAATTTTGCGGTTAACGTGCCACATGATGCATTCTTGTCACACGGGGAGCATAAAAATTTCTCGCTAAAATAATGTAGCTAGTTTCATGGATTCCCTTTCCGATTTACGAACTGGGAAAGTTCGAATAAAGTTGCTCCAATTCTCTCCAGAATTTTTACATATTATGTCTACGTGCAGATCAGAGTTTTGGCTAAATAAAAATTGGTTCGGTGGAAGGGACGTAATTGTGTCTGTTTTGTATTCTTCGCAGTTAAGTTGCAAATTTGTGTCCTAATGACAAAATAAGGGCGACAATTCCCGATAACTTACTTTTCTTTCTCCCGTTGTTTTATTAATGTATCGCATTTTTTCTTTTGTCCTAATGCCGGAATTGATTTTGGGTTTTGCGTATTGAAAACTTTTTACTAGATCTTTGAGGAATAACTTATTCGTAAATCAATTGTCAATACAAAGGGAACGAATCCATCACTTAAAATGCGGGCGGGTTGATATACAAAAAAAAAGTTGTGATCCACTTCTTGAAGCGGGGCTTACCGTAAATGATAATAAATACAATAATGACGGTAATTAAATAAAACACATCTACTGATAGCCTCTTTAGGGAAGTACGAATTAGAGTTTATCCTTTATTTTATAGCATATGTTAAAATGACATTTTAATTGGTTTGAATGAGTGGGCTAAGCCGTTCTTTAACCTTGGATAGATAAAGTGAAACAAATGATTGTGTATTCTAATGACATCTGTCATTCTTATCTCAAATGCACGTTATAAAATGACGTTTAGAACATATGACAATTCTGTTTCTATAGAAACGATCACGACAGCAGGACCTAAGCTTACTATTTTTGACGTCTCTAAATTAAATTCAGAATTGTCAGAAGCTTTACAATGGTTTATACGGCTTCTGCTATAAAATAAAGTTTTGGATTATACACGACGATAAACGAAAACCAACCATCTCGTGAAAGTTTCTTTTACTCGATGGTTAAAACATCCCTTTATAGTCTTGTACAATAAATAACTATTAATTGCTTAACGTCGTATGAAAAAAGACTTGAATAACATGTACAATTTAGCATATGTTAAGGATCTGATCCTTAAAATATCGCTTATTGAATTCCACGAATATGAGGATGACAGATCAGGGACGCTACAATAACAAATGAAGCGTATTTAGACGTGGTTAGTCCAGTACTGTAGATTCAAGATAAATTATGCTACTACCGACAATATCAATACCATTAATTAAATTAGATGGCCGAGCGTCTCTGAAATATTTGTGTCAACCCGACCGCAATTCTAACCTCACATTCAAAATTATAATGAAATTAGTTAATTAATCGATCTAAAGAGCAGCGACGTTTCCCCTATCTACGCCATTTCAAGTTACCCTCTTTATAGCAGATAGATATCAGACTTGACGAATTAGGCACCCTCGACAGATTTCACTGGGAAATGTATTGTTATTGTTGTATTAGTGTTATGTGACACTATTACAGAATGCAAGCAGACAATGACGTAATACGCAGACAAAAGCAAAATTTACGTTGTCAGCGTTTCCTTGAACGAAGCATTGGGAATGTCTGTTCTGTGCGGAGTTAAGACTTTCGTAACTAACGTAATGGTATTTGGGGTGAATTTCTAGACAAGCGGAATCTTTACGGACTATATTAGCATTGCAATATAGTTACAGTCGCCGTCACCCCCGTCACGTCGCTTTCCATCATTAACATAAATTCTACTTTGCATACCTACCGAAAATGTGTTAGTTCTCGCACCATTTATAGGTACTTCGGAACGTGTTGCAACTCGAATGACCATTATGATCAACTAAACTTTCACAACCCTTTAACCACGCTTGGTGGAGTGCCATTTACAGAGAATCTTTTAGTCGTTAGTACATTATCACTATTAAATTTGAACATAGGACCGATAGGTATTTAATAATTTTAATTAATCACGGACTTTTTCAATTACCCCTCTAACTTAATGCCAAACGCCACAATTTTTTATAAATAATTATACTCGAACGAATTTATTTCGCAACGAAACTACCTGATTATATCTTGGTAGTTCCCGACCGAGTCTCTTCTAAAACATCCCCAGATTCACTAGCCGCCAAACCATTTTTTTTGTTAAGAACAAATCTGAATCTAGCCACCCACGTTCCGAATTGTGCTTAATTGCAAGTGGGCAAGTATTTTTACAACAAAACCCGACTGAGAAAACTATCTGAAGATGAGAATTTCCTAAAGCTATTAAAAGAACAACGCGTTATAAAAATCAAATGGCGCAGCAAAGGTGATTATTAATTATACCAATTACTTACGGATTTTTACATTTCGGCCAGCCATCTATTGGAAAATTCTACCCTCTAATTGTGACACCCTGTAGACTTTCTGTAATGCGTAAACTGTTCAAACCTTTACCTATCTCAAAAAAAAAAGAATTCGAAAAAAAGAAGGCCAAATTTTGGGAAAGCCAAAAAAGATCTAAGTTACGGAAAATAGTTGGATAGCGCATAGAAACTCGTCCAACGCACTACAAGTTGTTTAAAGGACCTTCTACTACTCTTCAGAACGTCTGTAGTCCTTTTTAGGGATTCCTCAGGTCCTTTTTAGACTCTTTAAGAGCCGTTTCCATAGAGAAGTTCATGTAGAAACCATTTTACTGAAGTAGACGGCTCCGAAAAGAGGCTGATAAAGTCACTAAATATAGAAAGTACCGCAATCCATTGGGCTCGTGTGTTAGAGAGAGAACGCATGATTTTTGCCCAAAAATGGCGGAAGTTACCAGATTCTAGTAACTAGTTTATGTTGCCAACTAAACTGCCGAAGTGTCATTAGCTGTTATTGTCAAAGGTTTATTTCTGTTCGCAGTGCTGAATATTTCTACTTTACAATAATTTGGTGGCGTTTTATATTTTTCCTGCGTGTGTTTATCTTCAAACGCAGCGCCATCTATTACCTTCTTATAATGAATGCAGTATAGATCGGTCCAAATAGTACGAGAAAATGCCTCTTGTATACTCCTTAGGCCTTTTCTAGGACTCATTTACCTTTCCCGGTACTAAATAAGCTTATAAAGTTCTGGAAAGGTTTGTAAAATACCTCAAATACTATGTATAGTATTGAAAAACTTCACCAGTGATCTAAAAAGCTTTGATACTAGAGTGTGCTCTGAAGGTGATAGATTTGCCTTGTAAAAGTGTTATAGAGTTCTTTAATCGTTCGAGAAACTCTCACAAAAAAAGCTTGGTAAAAACCTATCGCTTTCTTAAAAAGCTTCGAATGCTCTAAAGTGCATCCCGAAACGCGCTAAAATGTTTTCGAAAGCGTTCCCAGAACCCTTAGGTGCTTTCTAAAGCATAACGATTTATACAAAGCCTGAAAATAGGGCAACAAATTTTGATACGTGACTATAAAGGTCCATATAGGACTGAAGAGCTATGAAATGCGCATATAAAGCTTTGGTTAAGTACTTCCCGTATTTTGGAAGGAGCTCTTCGGAGACTCTAGAAGGCTTTTGATAAAAGTTATAAAGTTATAATAACAAACACTTGAACTGCACTGCATAAGCTACACCCGTCACAATTCAGATGAAAATAATCAGCAAGGGCCCCCCCTCCAGTACCAGTACACCAAAATCGGTTATCCTTCCAAGAATACTGTCAGGAGAGTGCTGGGGTAATAGGCAAAGACTGGAAAGTTACAAAGATTTGAATGTCCTTGCCTGAATACTATCATTGGTGTCTTTAAAATTGAACGCCCATGTAAACGAACTGGGGGAGTTTGCGCCCCAGCTTGCCGCTTCTATGACATTGCATAGACTATAAACTGGATTCACTTTGTCCTTCTACTAAAAATGGGGAGTCTAGACACCTTAAATTGGATTACTAGATACTACGCAATTAAATGTGATCAGGTGTCAGTTGGTGTTGTCATTCTTTCAAAATTTTAGGTCAGATGGTTTTTCGATTCCTGTGCCAAATTGCTCGTAATGCAAAATTCGTAGGTAGTAACTTTAAGTTTCCGTTTCTCGACATCAAATTTTAGATTATATTCCGGCATGGCATCCGAGGTTATTCACGGCGTCTACGACCCCGTACCGTGTTGTCTAAAAAAAGTACTCGACAGCGATACGGTGTCCAAAGAAACTGGACACCGGCATTGACATTTCAAAATTTATCAAAGAGATTTTCTGCAAAGAAGCATTGGTAAGCCAAATGAATCTATTGCAGCGACTACGGTTTCCATTACAGCACTCACGAGAACTGTGGCTTGTTCCTCGGCCTTCCAAGCGCATTAATTAGTTCAAGATATTGCCACACGCCTTGCGAAGATTACAAATACCCCTTTGGTAAGCAAGCGATTCCTGCGAATGTTCCTCTAAACCCACTCAAGCAAAAATATGTGCCAAAAGATCCCCCAAAAGAGTGTCCAAAGGAAGAAGAGCCTACGATAAGGGCAGACGATTCATGCAGAACGTCGACTAAACCCTTACCATCGTTAACTCGCCAATTATACACTCCGTGCAACGAACCACTACCAGAATCTCCACCCCTTGAACGTCTAAAACCGCGCGAATTACACGAGGTTCGTCACGTATGCAACCCACTCCCTCCTATCGAATGTCCTCCACGAGCTGATGATAACCTCAAGCTCCACAAGCAAAAATTACCAAAACTAGAAACATCCTTCCTTCCAAAGATTCACGCGTGTAATTACGTCGCAGAGCCTTTAAAGCGTTTACCAAAAGTAGACATACCAGAACCTCCAAAGCTTTGCACGGAATCCACGATGCAATGTCATACTCCACGCGCAGATTATAATATACGCGTGGGAAAAAGGCGCCTGCCAATGATAAAGTTCGACTTCGTACCCGAAACTAAAGCAGTTCCTCCCCCATGTCCCAAATTAAAGCGATTGCCAAACCTCGAATCTTGCGACCAACCCAAAAAGCCGGCCGTTGCACCACCGGAGCCTTGTCCCACTCGCTGCGACGATGTGAGCAAAACGGATCCCCCGAAACCATTGGCGACCCTAATACTTAAAGAAAACAATAATTTCGTCAGCACACGCGAATATAACAAAAAGAAGGAACCGCCTACTTTTAATTTTACCATTAAACGCAAATTTAGCCTTATGGCAATTATTACAAGCCCATGGACGGTATCGTTCCTTACCGTAAATGCGCTTGCTTTAAATTATTATAGTAAAATGAACGATGAAAAACTGGCACTCGTAGAAGATTGCGAAACTTTCATTCATGAAAAGGTTCAAGATGGTGATTCACAACCTTCCATTTGCCAAACTACACGAAGTAAAAGCCTCCCCTACCTTGTTCTAAATAAAGAAATGCACACACTTGCACCAAACCAGCGATTTTCCACCGTTCACCGAAAATTCGCGTCGTCAAACTCCCAAAAACTTGACAAAAAGTGCAACAAACGGTGCGTAAAAATTAAAATTCCGGGTATAGCAGCGAGACAGCGGGAAACATGCCAAAAGGAGTACGTAGAAAAGCCGGGTAAAAAGACAAAGTGTCCTTACCCTTCATTTTCGGAGTCGGTCAAAGATTTGGAGTACTCCGTTTGCGAGTGCCCGGAACTTCCCAAACTTTTGCAGCCGAAGAACGAAATGATACCTAACAGTAAATTGCTGGAACCTGTCAGTCCGGAGTGGTCGCCCATAGATGTAGATGTGGAGGCGAAATGCGTTAAAGAGAAGCTCCAAATTGAGCCGGGAGAGACAAGGACTTGTGAAAACTTCCACTGTCCTCCCACGCGAATCGACGTCAACTACTCCAAATCACAAACTACCGAGAAGTGTGTACCGAAAAAATTTGAGGAAAGGCGAAAGATTGCGACGGAACCTTGCCCTAAACCCAAACCTTCTAACCCTTGGAAGAAGTGCTACGCGTCCTGGGCGGCAACTGAACGTGCTAGATGCATGAGCACACAGTCCACAGTCGAAAACACAGCCTCATTCTGGCAGTCACTGTGCGGTTTGTTTAAAACAAGCGAAGGAAAACCGGAGGACGCACTTACTCGAAGTAAGGTCCCGCCGCCTTCATTTAAATGTAGAAAATGCGGAAAGTATGATGATAAGCCAAAGTCCAGGAAGGTCGCTAAAAAGGTGCAAAAGACGAAGGCGGCTAGTGCAACCACCAGTAAAGAACTAGAGGAGATGTTAAAAATGGGAATCGAAAATCCATACACTAACATTGATTGCGAGAGTCTGATATCTCTTCCGATAGCGTCTCGCGCAGAACTTGCGTTGGAAAAGGCAACCTCCGCCCCTTTACACACTGTAGCGCTCCAGAGAGCCCCATTTCCGAGCTTCTCGGAGAGCAATCCGGAGTTCAAGAAAATTACCCTAACCGAACGGGAGGTGGCGAAACGGCACGCTAAACTTGCGAAACAGCACCTGCTGTCCACCGGCCATTTCAACATTTGCAAATGTGCCAAATGTGAAAGATCGTTTAGCACCCTGCGAGGGGCGCTCGAACAATTTTCCGACGGCAACAGAATTAGGTACGAAGATTTGCCTCTCGATTTATTTTCGCCCAGCGTCGGTGCCGATGAAGAGGAGGAAGTTCGGGTTACTGAGTCTTTTAGGAGCCAACTGTACGCAAAGGAGGGCGGTAAGCGCCTCGTTGCACGAAACTCGACGTGATTACTTACTTTCAGGTTATCAAGTCGACGAGTTTAATGAACTGCGAGAGATCTTCAATGCCATTGAAGGACGCGACGAGTAAATTTTGTTAATTGCATTTATTGTACGCATTCATTAAAACAGTACGTCACGGGATTTCGATTTTTGTAAATTAATGTTAGATGGTTCATTTTGTACTACTAGCGACATCTGGTGGCATTATTTTAAAAGTGTCAGTTACTTGTTATGAATTTGTTCGCTTAAGTTTTTACCTCTATTTTTTCAATTTAGAGTAAAAAGAAAAGGATTTATTGACAATAATTACAATTTTTTGACTTTCGTTGGCTGGAAACAACCTAAATTTTTTTAAAAATAGAACTTGTCTTGCAAAATTAATTTCATCATCAGGCCTAGCTATAATATACAGGGTGGTGACTTGCGTAACGCATCATAGGGATTTCAATGTAAAATTCATAACATCCGATTATTGGCTCCCCAAATTATTTTAGAGCAAAAATTGATTAAGGTTTTTTGCAGAAAACATTTTTTTACGCCTATAAACCGTATTAGTTAGTAGTTTGAACAGACATCGTAAATGTTTCACATAAATTATTTTAATTGTTTTAATTTAAGGTATCATCTACATGGCACCGTTACCTTAGTTTAATTAAGAGAAGCCCAATTTTTGGGTGTGCGGACAGTAACTATTGAAATGTTGCGACTGATATTTAATCTACACGTATCGACCTTTAAATATCGCCAATAAAATGTAGAGAGGAACAGAAGTATTGACACACAAGTTCAATTTAGGGGTGTGCGGACACTAATTATACAACTGTTCTGATTGATTTTAAATTTACACTTATCAACCCTTAAATATCCCCAATAAAATTTATACAAATATACAGAGGTACATTGACGGCCAAGTTCAATTTAGGGTTGTGAGGACACTAATTATACCCACATTAAATTTAGCGATTGGCATATTAAATCTATACGTATCAACCCTTAAATATCTCCAATAAAATTTATACAAATAGGTTTCGTTTCTTTGGAAATAATTTTCAAATCGGCCGGCATTTAATTTTTACACGAATGCGGCGTTACTCATTCATCGAACCTTTTCTAAGTAGGTTTTATAAATGTACCATAAAATTAGCTTTGTGCCTAAAACCCAGTTTCGCATCAATATTATTTTTCTATTAACTACTAATTAAAATGTAGGGGCATCCGATTCGAAAATAGTGGAGAAATATAAACGAAAAATAGTTAACGGCCATCATTCCTTCTTTGTGGTTTGTAGTTTGTTACGAACGAAAACGTTTCCAACCTCAAACGATTATTCACTTGAGTAAACCCGAAACGGATAAATTACACCTTCAAGACCTGTAATCAAATTTTTCCTTTAATTTAACGGTCTTTCATCTTGCAAAATTCAAGACAAAAGTCGACTATTAATCGTTTGTAAATTGCGTTTTTCGCAAGTAGTTTTCAGGTTCATTTTTGCTTTATAGTTTATTGAAAGAACGTTTCTTCTGGTGGACTACACGAGAATCATAATTTTCCGTAACGTGTAAGTAAATAAAAGTGTATTCACCCCTCACTAAGAGTCCGAATTGTGGCAGAACATTTTATATTTTACAAACTTAGACTGCTGACTCGGCGTTTTAATTAGTAGAGATAAACACCCACGAGGGGATGATTCATTTTCAAAATTTTCTCGAATCTTCCTTTTCACGATACAACTTCTACTCTCGTTTGCACATCCAGCACTTAAATAACCAAAGACGTGAAATGATCGAAACGCATAACGTACAAGACCGTTCCATTATATCTTATGAATTAACCGCAATCGAGAATTCTATCCATTTTTAAATGTGTCTCTCGATGACTTGGTTTATGCATGTCGGAAGGTTAGAGACCGCAAAGCATTGAAGTGTAGGTCACATCGTTATGCGCAATCCCCCGCGGTGTTGACGCCAACGGTCAGCAGGTCGGCGTAACCATCACCCCATAAATCCTTAACTTTGTACGTCAGGGACGTTCGGGGTTTGCCATTTATAAAAGGAAGTTCTCTCCCTTTCCCCATTTGTACATGTTCAAGTGTAATTAAGTCTTGTGGTCATTTCCACTTTTTAGCTTTGCACGTCTGTTTAAAGTGCTTGAATTAATCTTTACGTATTTCCAGGACTTTTCGCTTGATACGTTCTACTTACACGAATGCATTGAAAAATGAACCATGTCTGTCACACGTGCATGTTAATGCACTATTTTTGTATAAAAGTGCAATACGGCAGCGAGGATCATTTGAAATCCCGCTCAACAAAAAAAAACATCAAAATTTAATATTGACAATACTGCAAAAAACACAGGGTGGGGAATTTTAACGCTCCTCAGTCTTAAAGGATCACCCTATACAAGTTGTTATTTAGATTTTAAAGTGGAAGTGAAAAGTAAAATTTGTGGCTTGAACCTATTTTATTTAGCAAAAAATTGTTCGAGGCATTCGTGCTAACTAGCCCATATTTTACCCAAAATCAAATGTAGTAGAAAGGTTTAGCGTGTGTGTCCCACGTTGTCATTTAATTAATAACTTGAGAAACTAAGGGCGCGGGCAAAAATGAAGAAGTAATTTATCACGGAAGTTCATAATAAATTCACCTCGGCGTACATTACTGGCAATAATGGATATGGCAGAACCACTCTAGCTTATAAGCGAAAAGACGTTCATTTCATAAATTAAATACTACAACAGAGAGTACAAACTATCCCCGGATATCGTTTGCTCAGTTTATATTACTTACCCAATATAAACGTCAAAAATTTTCCGAAACATCTTAAAGTCATGTTTATTTATATGAAATTAGAATCTCGTTTACCCAAGACAGATTTCATTGTACTTGCTTTAGTTATTGTAGTATGTCGTTTTTCTACACTATGGGGCAATTATTACAATATCTACCTAATCACTAATAATAATATACATATATCGCAAAGCGTCAAATTTTTATTTTATTCTCGATTCAAATGAAATGATATTTTATTATATTTGATCGATATACAGAGTACTGATACCGCAATATACAGCGCGAGTGTAACGTCTGGAACTATTAACACATATTTTCGTAAACGTTTTTGAAAAAAATTATCGAATACGTCAATTTTTACTGCAATTGTCACTTGAAGATCGTCATTTTCTTTTGAGATATGACATAATCGATCATTTCTTTAAACGGAAACTCTATTTTTTATGCCGAATTTGAAAAGAGCCTGAAAGACCAAATACGCTAAAAAAAAGTATGATACTGTATTTTGAAATATTCGAGATAATTGCTTTTAAAGTTTAGAACCAGAAACCTAAACAATCAAGAGTTCCAAGTTTTAATTAAAAAATCAAGTAGGTAACCATGTAACAATTGCCGTTAAAATTATGACATCAGTTCTTCATCAGCGTATTTATTTTGTGGTTTTTACGTTACATTTAAGTAAATAATGGTGACTGAAAAAGAGCGAATTTAAAAGCAAACTCGAACATTTCAAAATAGAATGCCATACTTTTTTAGCGTATTTGGTTTTAGAATTTTCTCTTTCCAAATTCAGCATAAAAAATAGGGTTTCCATTAAAAAAATTACCCATTACATCATATCCCAAAAACAAAAAACGATCCTTAAGTACCGTTAGTTATAGCTATCCATAATAATTAATTTCAAAAAGTGGTTAAATTCTAAAGCGTAGATTATTTTATGTGGCAAGGAAGGATTACGTTTTGACTTTTCCAACCGCATACATTCTTGAGCGCCTGTGTGTTTGCAAAAAGAACTTCTACTTTCACTATGAATTGCCAAACACATGACATACATTTAATACACTCCCAAATATTTCTTAATTGAATCCCTGTAAGGGTTACGGACTTAGAACCACACATTTTTGGAAATAAAATGCAACGCTTTTTAATTCGTCAATGTTGCTTCAGCCCAGAAGATTTCTTAAAATGCGATTTTAATTAAATGAGCAATTGTTTTGTTTGTCATTTTTTTGTGATTTTTGTAAGGTAATACTATGCGATCAAAATTGAGTTGCTTCCGAGTCACCTTTGGAATTTTTGTTTACATGGGAAATGGTACTTAACTTGAACTTCCAAAGGCGACTCGACAGCAACTCATTTTTGATCGCCCTACTTGTTATCTGTACATACGCTTTTTAGATTGGTAATAAAACTATCTTTCTTTACTGATGACGATATGTAAGTATACTGTATGTACACTAGCATGAAATAAACTATTATTATTCCTAAGTCTTTGAAATTCCTTGGAATCTTTAAAAAAATTGTCATAATTTTCGATTTCTTTCTTAATATTTGGAAATCTTGAGACTTATCCATCCTATTTTTGACTTTTGTCATTAAATAGGTGGGTGCTTTTCGAGTTAAAGCATTCTTTAATAAAGCTTATTGTTTTTAGAGTAGCAGTAAATCCAATTTGTAAGGGTAATTTGGGTGTGGGAGCAGAAAATGTCAACTGTCACTCGCCTGTCAGCGCTTACTACCCGTAAGAAGACGAAATATAAAATTGCGAAATGTCGTCCCCCGTGGAACGGTCGTCATGGCAGACTTACACCTTGCAACGCGACGTGACATGAAAAGCAAAAACCTGCCTTTTTTTGTGACTTGCGGTCAATTTTTCTCTACGCGAAAACGGAGTAATAAATAAATTTGTTAATCGGGAGTGAAATACGGCGTTCGGTTGGTTTTAAACTTGGAATATGTCATAAGATAAATAAAATATGGGAAAATACTGCTAGATGTGGATCATGGGGAATTAGCTGCGTTCGTGAATCTTTAATGTGACAGTTTCAGTTCGCCTCCGCTGTATTTTACTTCACCTTCTTTCTCTATTTGCCAAATCGTATTTTATGTTGGAGGTACATACTCCATATAAAAATAAATTTGGGCGAGGTTTAGTCATTACTTTTGTCGAATTCGCTTTTTGAGCAGCTAACGCGTAGGAATTCGATCCGAACTTTCACTCCCTTTTCCATTCCGGTATAATTCTATTTTATAAGAAACTTGCCATTACACATTTGGTGCTTTTTGTACTAACATCAGAGTGTATACGAGAGTCTATGCAAACTATTCTGCAATCAGGAAATAATGAAG